AATTGATAAGATGATCAATATATTCTCGCAAGTCCTTGATGTTTGTGTTGACAGTGACCTAGACGAAGACAAAACATCTGAGAAGCAAATACTCAGGAAAACAACTTCAATGCACAAGATTCGTTGGTAGGGATATATAAAATATTTTCACCATCCCTACAAACGAAAGCTTCTTCAATTGATTGGCGCTACACTGGCAAAAACAGTTCAAGAATTAGAATATGCATATCAAAGTTGCGCAAACAGCAATAGTAATGTATGTTTTAATTAACTTAATACAAAAACAAAGTTGTCAGACTCTCTAGTTATAGCAGAGGCTGCAGAAGCATTTTGAATGTGGAGGGGCATTGGGCAAAAGGGGCCTTTTGTATATGAACAAAAATCAAATGATTTTATGTCATTCACGAGCTGAACGAAAATTTTTGAAAATATGGAGTCTCTATAACGTTGGAAATGGTCTCTACAGAGTCTTTACTCGTGTAAAAAGAGCACTTTCTGTCCAGCAAATGAAGGCGTTCATTCAAGAAATACTTTTTCCTTCTTTAAATGAGGCACTTAATAGCCCAGAAAAAAGGCAGTTTTCCAGTTTTAAAAAAGGCTTCAACAATTGTTTATGAACTACATCTATCGAGTACAGACGCAAGCTCGTACCCAGGCTCTTGCCTATGGGAGGGCGTGCGAAGGTAAGAGCCTGGGTTCGAGGTTGGGACAGACGCTCAAAATGTTGATATATTCTGCAATACCTTGTTCTCCCATTCAAACTCCGCCCACATCTGCCTGAACTCCGTGTCGGTGCAAGAAGCGGGCAGGATGTAGTCCATGATATCGATATGAATGTCATTGAGAACAACACAATTACGATCACCAGATCCACCAGATATGTCATAAACTACGACGGGAAAATGTTCAGTTAGAAAAAAAGTACCATTACTGGTAATTACAGATTCCCCACATGGTAAATTAGTAAAAACCATCATGTTAAGATTTACCAATGATATCGTTAATGGTAAATATTAAACATCGTGTTTTTTTACCAAATTGAATTTACTATATGGGAAATTATTTATAACCATTAACGGTAAATAGTTCAGTTTTTACATTGATAGTATACATAGTAAATCTTTAAAAACCATTAAAAAACCACTACATTTAGTAGAATCTAAATTTTGTTCCTGTGACTATAATATAGTTTGTGCCAAAAAAAATTAACCAACGTTATTGCGCGAGGTTGCATGTGAAACTATTGGAATAAAAAGAAACTTCAATTTATAAATACTTGAATCTGGGTTATACAGTACCATGCATATAACAGAAAATGACAGAAAGATATCCATTGGATAGCGTGCTTTCAAGTTGTAATTAACCATGCTAGGAGGGGCAAGGTGGTTCTTACCGATATTTCCAAAAATAATCCCATTCTCAGTCGACGCTACTTTCACACTTGCCTAAGAATTAAAAGTCAATACATGAATGAATAAGATTCACTGCAGTAACTGAGCACTTGTGTCCGCCTGCTTGTCACTTGTGATAAACGCTTGTCACTTGTGATAAATGCTTGTCACTTGTGATAACGAAATCGGGAAATGAGGATAAAAACACTCCCAGACTAATTCTACAGCTTCTCGACTCATAAGAACACACGTTTCCTTACCTTTATATTCGAGAAATCGTGCGGACCCAACAGAATCGGACTTGGTTTTTCCACCAACTTTAAGTCACCTAAATATGCAAGAATATCATCTTAAACTATCGACTACAACGAATGAGGGTGTCATTGCTACATAGCTAGGGCGAACACTAAACGCCAATAGCTGATTTGTAGTCACGTGGCTTTAGTAAATGCAATATATCCCGCGAAGCAACAAGTGAAAACTAGTTGCCCACCGGCAACGTAAATAAACACCTTTTTTGATTTTTTCTGTGTTGGTGTAATGTACTCTTGTGATGTTATTCTGAGTGTATATCCACTCTGGGCAAGCTTGAAAAATATGCCTGGCCACGGTGGGCTAGTATTCCAAAAGTCGTAGGTTCGATTCCCACCGTGGTCAGGCATATTTTTCAAGCTTGCCCGGTGTGAATATACACTCAGAGTAACATCACAAGCATCAAACTCCTTTTTGATTCAATTTGGCTGAAAGTAAGAGGGGGGGGGGGGGTCTTCCATACTTGCAGCTCAGTGTACGTGCTTACCTAGTGTTGCAAGCTCTAGTACAACATTCTGCAAAGTATCAGACGTTTGATTAACAACCAAGACATCCAGGACAATATCGTACTGATTCACATTCACGTAAGCCTCAGCAAATACTGGATCTGAAAAGCCAGTCAACTGTGTCACCTACATCAAAACAAGAAGAGATTTGGTGAGTAAGATTTTGCATGAAATCTAATGTCCCGATCAAACGAGTAACATCTTGCAAATTTAACACAAACTCCTGTGTTCCACAATTTATTTATAACAGTATAACATTGTTTCTACTACACCAATTATAATTATTATATTGCAAGTGTCAAAGTTCAATTTTCCTGTTTGCCGATTGGACAAAACCGTATCACGTGCTGGTCGACAAAACGTCATGATCATTGCATGCTTTGCTGAGGGGCAACTGGTCGACAATGAAACATGAATTTTCTGTGTTGGTGTAATGTACTCAGGTGAATATATGATGTTTGTGATGTTACTCTGAGTGTATATCCACACCGGGCAAGCTTGAAAAATATGCCTGACCACGGTGGGATTCGAACCTACGACCTTTGGAATACTAGCCCAATGCTCTGCCAACTGAGCTACGCGGTCAGGTCGGTTCGAGTATGTGATATTTCGGAACTGAGTCTAGTTCGTTTGATATCAATGCAATCTAATAGTCATGAATTTTCTGTGTTGGTGTAATGTACTCAGGTGAATGTATGATGTTTGTGATGTGAATACTCAGAGTAACATCACAAACAACAATGAAACAATTGTCATTTATTGACTGGTCAACGATAAAACCATGCAAAAGTGAGGCGTGAGCTATTCGCATCAACCAGCACGCTCAAAGCTTTTTCAAGAGTTTCAGAATGTCTGCCTGTCGGTTTTACTACAGTTTTGGAATAGCAGGTGAATTATTGAGACTTTGACAATTGCTATATAATAAAACACTTAGTGACTGAAACCTTGGGACAATCAGCGTGTTTTGAGCCCACTCGACATCCCGGGACCACAAAACATGTAACAAAATGATTAACAGTATGATTTTGACTGCACTTTGGAAAATACGTGCGTTTTTCGTGCGTGAATTGACACGCGAAACGTCGTTGTAAAATACAACTTGTATCGTTTGCATTTGTTTCAAAACTCTTTATCACAAACCTTATTTAATTTTGAACTCTTCGCGTCTTCCTCTTGCTTATCCAAGCCGACGGCTTGAGACAGTGTTTGATCGTAACGATCCTACAAAAATAATTAAATATCTATCTAAAAGAATAATGGTTTCTGATTGGCTAACAGCCAAATGTATAATCGTCAACAGAAGACCAAATAAGAAGTTTTGATATAATATTTAATGGAGTGACGTCATAATGTTGATATGAAAAATTGGTAAGACAGTTTGTCGGGACAAAATGTCTGAGTAATTTAGCATTTTGATTTTGATTTTTTCTGTGTTGGTGTAATGTACTCAGGTGAATATGATGTTTGTGATGTCACTCTGAGTGTATATCCACACCGGGCAAGCTTGAAAAATATGCCTGACCACGGTGGGAATCGAACCTACGACCTTTGGAATACTAGCCCAATGCTCTGCCAACTGAGCTACGCGGTCAGGTCGGTTCGAGTATGTGATATTTCGGAACAGAATCTAGTTCCTTCGATACCAATGTAATCTAATAATCATCATATTTGCTGTGTTGGTGTAATGTACTCAGGTGAATAAGATGCTTGTGATGTTACTCTGAGTGTATATCCACACCGGGTGAGCTTAAAAATTTGCCCGGCCACGGTGAGAATCGAACTTACGACCTTTGGAATACTAGCCCAATGCTCTGCCAACTGAGCTACGCGGTCAGGTCGGTTCGAGTATGTGATATTTCGGAACAGAATCTAGTTCCTTCGATATCAATGTAATCTAATAATATGATTTTTTCTGTGTTGGTGTAATGTACTCAGGTGAATAAGATGCTTGTGATGTTACTCTGAGTGTATATCCACACCGGGTGAGCTTGAAAAATTGTGATTTGTTTGTAAACTGTCCGATGTGCGAGCGTTATTTGAGTGGCTAGGAAACTGGTGCAACCAATGTAGAGTGTATGAGTTCATACCTCGAGAATTTCATTTTCAGCCGTGGCGAGGAGTTGCATGAAGGCAATGGGATCATCTGCTTGAATACTAACTGCTTTTCTTTCGTTCGCCTGCAATGAAGATATAGAAAGAATTGCAGACTTGAAAATAATTTCAGTTTTTCCTACGCCGCCAAGGTGCAAATAATTTCTTCAAAAACGCGGTTGTCAAATTACATTTAACAGAGCTTACAAATTCAGTCGTACAGCTGTAAAGCATTTTATGGGTCTGGCATTTTTAGCGCGGAGGACTGTTCTCCTACTAAAACTCAATCTTCTTCCGAAGAGACGACGGTGGAGTAAAATGCTGGTACTGTATCTCTACCTTAGTGCTGTCTTCGCTATCCTGTTTGTTGGATTCGAGCATGTTTGAAAGTGCACGTCGACATTCCACAGTAAAAATATCTTTCATAAGTGCAGTACGGTTTGCCAGTACGCGCAGACACAGTGTTATTCTGTCAACATCATCATCTGTTATAGACTAGAAAATGGACAATGAAAATATGGTCAACAATGGTTACAATGCTGGCAAATTTATAACTGAGTGGTTTGTCGCAGCGTCCCAACTATTCATCAACAGGCCTGCAAATAATTATTTTACTTGGAAGGACAAATGATCAATTTTCTTTTGGAAATTAGCACGATGTATTTTTTGTCTGCACATTTTCTGATAAATTTGACGCAAACCAACATGCTATGGTGATTTTGCCGTATATATAGCGTAATCACTTGAACACGTTGATTACTTTATTTATACAATACCTTCTTCGATAATCCAGATTTTCCAAGATGAAGAATACTTGCCATTACCAGCATTGATTGAGCACAGAATATCTGCAAAAATTCACAAATTTTATAAAGTTCCATTATGAGACGATTTGTAAGAGATTTATCAACTAATGAAAGCATTCGAGTAATAAACGCTTGCAAAATCCCAGAAATTTATCAGAAAAGCGGGCGGAGCGCATTGAGGGCAGACTATCTGTATGCAGGCTACGTACATTTTGCTTCTTGTTGTCAGCAACGAGTCCGATATACCGCAGAGCAACTTTCGTCAATGTTCCCGCCATGGCTGCGCCCACAAAAAACTCACCATCCAAAAGATATTGACGCAGAGGAGGCCTAGGAAGCAATAGAATATATATTACGAAATATTCTCACATAAGAAATATACAATCAAAACATGAAAGTAGTATATATATTACAGCCGAACCTTTGGTAAACGGTCTCCATAGCTGTGTTGGTGAACGCTAACATAGGCCGCCTAGGTCTAGCTTGGTATAAATAGGGGAAGTTAAAGCAGTCAAATGGTAATCTTGGGCTGTATTGCCTTGTCACTTAGTGACAGACTGACAATAGAAGTTCTCTTTGTCACATTAGAGAGTCTGAGCAAGAGAACGAAGTCGGACGACGTGGTTGACAATTTTTGCCTGTCTTGCAAATTATCTTGCCCATTCTGAGTTTAGGGTCAGGGATGAAGACAGATTAGAGATTCGTGTCTAGCTGTTTATGAATGCTGACCAAGTCTTTACCCTGATTAGGAGAAAACAGCGAGACATAAATCCATATCCCGTCTTCGTTCTTCTGCCTTCGTTCACAACGAATATTTTGGAAAAATTCGTTGTGAACTTCGTTCCAAATGAAGGACAAAGACGGGATATAGTTTCATGTCTCGCTGTTTTTTTCTGGGTCAGGCCAAGAATTATGGTAAGTATTCATAAACAGCGACACACGGGAAGACACGTTGAGCAACTACCAGTGACGTCCAACTCAGTATGCGCAAGATAATGTGCAGACGGCAAAAATTATCAAGTAGGTCTTCGTACTTCGTTGTCTTGCTCAAACTCTCTAAAACGTACTTGATATCCTCACGAGATCCAGCGGCACTGACAAAGACACTCTCTGTAGCATAAGTACCATCAGCAGTAACTCTTGTTTTCGTTGTGGTTGTTCCTTGCTCCTGATTGTCTGAAGAACACGACATAAAGTCAGTATTGCAACCAAACTACGTAATACACTCGAAAAACAAAATTTACTATAGGTTGTGGAAGCATTCGATTCTACAGAAATTATCAAACTCGCGGGCAGCATATAAAGCGGCGTCAAACTTGCCAGGCACTGTCACTACCAAAAGAAGCAACTGGAAATTGAAACATTTAGTTTTCATTCAATAAACTTTATACTAACCGTCTACTTGTTCTACACCGGCAGCTTTTCTCAGTTCATCGTCGACAATTGGAACCTAACAAGAGCACTTACTTTTATAATACAACATTTATAGTGCGCGAGCGTTGACTGGTCGAGAAGCGTGTTTGTTTGTAATAGCATGGTCTCCAGTGCAATTTGGATATAACATGCACGAGTGAGTTTTTCGAAGACCTCAAAATAGCACGAGTCCGAAGGACGAGTGCTATTTGAGGTCTTTGAAAAACTCACGAGTGCATGTTTATCCAAATTTCACGAGAAACCATGCTATTACTTAATAGCATGGTTTACATAATTAAAAATTTACATAAAAATGTTCGAGACAATTGTGGTTTTAACTTACGCGTTTATAGCGAACATTCCACTGGCAAAGTTTTCCTGGCTTTATTATATCACATTATACAACGCTACCAGCTTGAAAATTCCACTCAACTATGTAATTTTTGTTAGTCTTGTTTACGGTAAATGCTTTTCAATTTAAAAATAAAGATAAAAGCCATATTTTCCACGCGAAGGCAACTTTTACTTTGTGTAGCGCGGCGCCATGTTTGTTTTGTTTAAAGCAATCTGTGACCGTTACTTCTTTAAACTAAATTGCTTTAAACTGATTGGTTGATTTAATCATCACAATGTTTTTCCACCAATCAGCTCAGTTTGTTACAGATTTTTGCACTGTGATTACAGAAAATTGCACTGCTGTTTGGGATTAACTGCACTGAAATCAACCAATCACAGTCGAGTAATATCTTTATGTATATTATTACTATGGATATCATAGTTTCTTTAACTGTATGGAAACACGGAAAGTGTTTTATATTTCGTAAAGATTAATTTATTATTAGATATTTAGCGAAACTATATGCATACGGTCCTTAATTCACATGACATACCTCTCCAAGTGAAGACTTGATAACATCCATCACACTGAGCAAATCACTTTCATTCTCGCAATATTCTCCCAAGATCCACAGTGCGTGACGATGGATTCTACAAAAACGACAGTTAGAACGTAGTCCTGTTTACACGAGGCTGGAACGAAGTAAGTGGGGGTCTGCTGATCATCCTTATGTGCAGTTGAGACAATTGAACCCTAACCCCCAAACTAGTAAGTAAGTTGCTAATCATCTTTACTTACCGCTGAGACAATGGACCATTTGCATTATAGACTAAATTTTGATCTAAACAAGTCTAGACAAAAATTTCATCACAGCTTGAAAAAGCATCACAAAATTAGTAATATTCCAAAGTTTCGTTGCGAAATGTTGTAAAGGTGGAGTAATACGAGCAACAAAATTGCTGCAACTTGCAACAAAATCTGATTTCTACGCATGTTAATTGAAAATGTTTCCACACACATTACAAGTCACGAGGCAACATGTGTCAACATTTCTACTTAACATGCGTTGAAATCAGATTTTGTTGCAAGTTGCAGCAATTTTGTTGCTCGTATTACTCTAGCTTAAAATGCGGATAATATAGCCTTGCGAAATGTGCAATTTTCAGTCATTTTGTATTACAAACGGGAAATTGATGCCCCAACACCCGATTGGGCTGTCAATTTCCCGTACGTAATACAAAATGACTGAAAAACGGCAAACTTCGCAAGGCTATATTATCCGCATTCTACAACATTTCGCAACGAAACTTCGGAATGTTACTAATTTTGTGATACTCTCTCAAGCTGTGATGAAATTTTTGTTTAGATCAAAATTTAGTCTATAATGCAAATGGTCCATTGAATGCTAACCCTAACCCCTCCCACACCGCAACTAGTAAGTAAGTTGCTAATTATTTTTACTTGCAGCTGATACAATTGAACGCTACCCCAACTTCGGCAAAGTAAGTTGCTGATCATCTTTACTTGCAGATGAAAGCTACGCGGAGAAAACCCACGATTTTCGGTAGAGCGTTGACGGACTCTTTCCCAGTAGTGTGATGAGTCCGTAGCGAGAATCAAACCCGGGAACTCAGAGACGAAAATGCGCTTGCTGTGAATATTGCGCCACCGAAGCTAATCTTTAGATCATAATGTTACCTTATGTTTGCATGAAGCAGAGATTGATGCACATTACTTACTTCAAGCTCTTGATTTGAGAGAAAGTTTCCAACAATTTCTCGACGATGAGAGGTTTGAGGTCCGGGAAACGCTGGACAGCTTCACGCACGAAGACCAACACATCCAGAGCGGCTTGTTCGTTCGAATCTCCCAGGAATTCCATCAACTACATAACAAAGCAACAGTTTCGTAAGTGAGGGCTTGAAATGTTAGAAAATGGAAAGTATAAGGAATATATAAAATTAAATATATCGTTCTTTGCTAAAGGGTCCGACTGTATCATCGAAACACGAAACACATCGGCATTCCCACCAATGTGTCTACTTAAACGGAGTGTCGGTTTAATAATTGATAGATCACTCGTCTCTACTGTTATACAAGGAGTCTCTTGCCATACGCAGACAAAACTACAACACAGCGCTTCATATTCGAAAGGTTGATTCAATAAATCTGAATGTTATTTGGAGTTCTTTTGTGTTTTCTTATTAATAAATCTCGTGTCATGTAAATAGAGAGATTAAGCTTCGCGTTATACGTCAAACGGCAAATGCCAGACAAAGAAAAATTTTACGGTATCAGGCAATAAAGAGTAAATAAACTTGCTGTTTTAAAACTGAAATACATAATTATTCTTTCGACGCAAGAAAGAAAATATGAAACGAAAACGTTCAACGAAAATTCTGCCAAGAAAGTTCGAACCTGTCGTTTGTCGTTCACGGAAACGTGAAGCTTAAATTCCCTAATAATATCACTAAGCACGTGAAACCTGGTTTCGATATTGTCTTAACGCTCGTAAAGATAGAATCACGATATTTCTCAACGGTCAGATTATAATAGTTTTTACCTGTGAACCACATAAATCATAAGTATTCTCTTTATATAATCACGTTGCCTATTTTCATTTCTATACTGTTTTACTTCGGCTGTTGAGAAAGATCGTGGCTCAATCATTACGAAGAAATGGAAACAACCTTAAAGCCCGGTTCATATTTCATACTAGTAATTTTGTCGGCGATTTTGTGTTTCTTGACGGATGCTGTCCTCGCTGACGGATGCTTGAACTCGCGCACAAAAGTATAGAGTCGCTTTTCAGAAGTAAACAATTCTTTTGCATGTCATCGCCGACAGAATTGCTCGGCGTGATCCAGGCTTCATTAGGGAGTTTACGATCTGCGACGCGGCCGGCTCAACGACGCGGTCTAAATTTCAGCTCAAGAATGAGCGGTAAGCAATTTGACTACTGTAATAAATATTTGACGCTTTTTCAAATAACCTTACAAACTGCTACGTTCGGCTGAAGCGATGCAATGTTTGCTGTAATTTCGACTTTAAGTAACACCTCTCGAGCTTAATGCTTTCACGTTGACTGAAAGACGTAATAATGCTTGTTTAATGTTGTGTTGAGAATGACAACGCGGTTGACAATACTCATGGGACCACAAATTATTGACAGTTTTCGTCTTGCATGACAAATTTCTTTGTTTGTGGAAACACCAAATTTTTTTGTTTTGAAAGCGCGTCGTCGAGCCGGACGCGTCGTAGATCGTAAACTCCCTAATATACTTACCACGGGAACAACAGATTCTGCAACATCCGGGAACTTGACGCTGCATGCGTGTAGAGTGCGGACGAGGATCTGTCGGTAATTGCCGGAATCTTCCGTCGTGCTTTCCTCTGTGTGTGTCTTGGTGATTTCTTTCTTCAAAACCATCACGACTTCATGGATATTTCTCGTGTTCATAATCTCAAGGACAAGATCCAACGTCTTCTTGCGAACCTCGAGATCAGGCGAGGCAAGTACTCGCAGAATGTCCATCACTAGTTCCTAAAACCACATTAAAAACTGTTGTATAGCTAGGATTAACCATAGATATCTTATATACACTAGATAGTGCATCTAATTATTCTGCAATTCAAAAATTGAAACCGTGTTTGCAGACTCAGGATATTCCCATAAAATGAGAAGACTCGTATGTTTTCTATTTCTTAAACACGGAACTTAAAGGGGAAGTCAAGTCCGTAATGTAAACAAACGGTTTGTTTACATTTTGAACTGCTGTATTTTTTAAAATATGATGTACTGTCTGAATATGTAACACAATTTTGGTTCGCTATGCTTCTAAATGAATATGAAATAGAGTTTATGTTCAGAAAAATTCGAAACATTCGAAATTTGGGCAATGTTCACATTAGAGGTCCTCACATTGTTATGAGCAGAACCGATGCGCAGAACGGACTTGACTTCCCCTTTAAATATTAAGTTTAACCTATTCCAAATACATTTTCAAACTATTCAAATGATGAAAGTTATTGTTGTTTTTTAGCGTTTATTAGCAAGTGGGAACGACCAACATGGCCGCCATCTATTCAAATGGGGGTAACCGCTGGAATATTCTTGGCTTCAATTTTACTAAAAGAGATGCGCTATCTAGTGTATATAAGATATCTATGTGGTTAACGCCAAACGTGATTGGCTCATTTGCCGTCACGTGGGTTTACATCAATGCAATGTATCCCGCCTGGCAACAAGTGTTGTCCGTCTCGACGTACATCAATAAACAAAATGGCGACACGACTTCCAACTTTATAAACTACGTTTTGTTCTGGTTATAGACGAGCAAGACAGCAAGTATGAAGAAAGCCACAAAGTTTTGTTTAACATTAGGGCCATTTATACGAGACAAAATAAGACGCGACTTACATAAGACGCGACTTAAATAAGCGGAGTTATCGCATAAATGGTTCTCTACGGCTTTATTCTTATTTACTTGCTATAGCTATAATGTTGTTTTGGTTGTTTTGGTTGTTTTTGTTTTAATATGCAAGGCTAATAATTTTACGTTGTTTCAAGATTCGGGCATGTGTAGTTAGAATTTTTGTCCAACATTTCTTATTTAAGACACGACTTACATAAGAACAGCTAAAAATCCTGTTCTTATTTAAGTCGCGTCTTATTCAAGACGCGTCTTACATAAGAATTCTGTGCCTTTTATACGACAAACTCGCGTCTTATTTAAGTCGCGCCTTATGTAAGTCGCGTCTTATTTTGTCTCGTATAAATGGCCCTAATGTGTAGAAGGAATTCTTTACAACAATTTCTAATAAATAAAACTACTAAAAGCTTGTAAACCCTGTTTTGTATACAACTGTTACCGGACCGGTTATATAAAGTGTTTTAAAAATATTTTTGTTGTATTTTGGTGATTTCTGTTTTGTTATTGGATTCACTTCAGTGTCCGGGAGTAACTCACCTAATTTATAATCAAAACTTCAATGTTTGTAGGCACTGACCTGTATGATTTTCTCATGAGCTGGATTCTGTTGTAAGGCAATGAGTCTGTCAAGAACAATCAACTTCACATTATTGTCACTTTCTTTCACGATCAGTTCAATATAACACGTTGCTGCCGCCTGGATATTTCAACAAATACACATTTATAAGTAAAAACTTCACATGTCTGTTGAGCTCAACAACCTTATAGCAAGTTGTCAACAAGTCTATACCAACTTGTCAACAAGCTAGGACTGTGTAAACCACTGACCTTGATTGCAGTGGGCGCTGAAGACAAAGTGACTAAAGTACCGGCTGCTTCATAACGTACTGCTGGTGATGACGAATTGAGAAGATTATAAATGCATCTGATGAATCTCGCACGTTCATTGGGGTTGGCACGACACACCTATATACAAGTAAAAATAATATCTCAGAGTTATTTCTTCAGAAAAATTTACAGCTGGCACCAAATCCATATTGTGTTCATACTTTGTACAACTTCAATAGTTCATGAAGAAAATTCAACAGAAATCAACGTTTAATGAGATGTTGCATCCACATACACAATATCCTCCTGATTTACACAAGTTTCCATCGATTTTCTCAGTTAAAACAGCGCGGGAAATAACGGCCGGTCAACGGACAATGTCCAGCCAGAATGCAGAGTTGTCTGGTCAAATTCTTACCTTGCCGCTCATTTTGACCATTCACTTTCAATAAAAGAACAAACTAATCTTCATTTTAATTAATAATCAAAATAAAATTGTCAAGTTGATAACCAAGTTCTGCCATTTGAAAAGGGAGTTCTGGCATTTGAAAAGGGAGTTTTGCCATTTGAAAAGGGAGTTTTGCTATTTAAAAAAGGGAGTTCTGTTCTTTGAAAAGGGAGTTCTGTTCTTTGAAAAGGGAGTTTTGCCATTTGAAAAGGGAGTTTTGCCATTTGAAAAGGGAGTTTTGCCATTTAGGGAGTTTTGCTATTTGAAAAAGGAGTTCTGCTATTTGAAAAGGGAGTTTTGCCATTTGAAAAGGGAGTTCTGGCATTTTAAAAGGGAGTTTTGCCATTTGAAAAGGGAGTTTTGCTATTTAAAAAAGGGAGTTCTGTTCTTTGAAAAGGGAGTTATGTTCTTTGAAAAGGGAGTTTTGCCATTTGAAAAGGGAGTTTTGCCATTTGAAAAGGGAGTTTTGCTATTTGAAAAAGAAGTTCTGCTATTTGAAAAGGGAGTTCTGCCATTTGAAAAGGGAGTTCTGCTATTTGAAAAGGGAGTTTTGCCATTTGAAAAGGGAGTTTTGCCATTTGAAAAGGGAGTTTTGCTATTTGAAAAAGGAGTTCTGCTATTTGAAAAGGTAGTTCTGCCATTTGAAAAGGGAGTTCTGCTATTTGAAAAGAGAGTTCTGGCATTTAAAAAGGGAGTTCTGGTATTTGAAAAGGAAGTTCAGCAACACAACTGTTGAAATCCTATAAGTTTACATAAACAGCTTTTACCTTATAAATCAACTCAACAATAACCAGTTGTAAGATATCACCAAAACTGTTGACTTGATCAATACATGTGCTCAAGTAGTCCAATGCACGATCCTTTAAATAACACAAAAATTCAAATTTATTAAATTTGTTCATTGAGCATATGGTACACAACTGTATCTTAGAGAAAAGTATTGCAACAAGTCTTTGATAACAAGCTGGGAACAAGCAGTACAAACACATATTGTTGACAAGTGATTGGAACAGTATTGCTACAAGTCTGCTGCAGTTTTATTACGACTTCTGTACCTGATCGACATGGATGAGCATCATAAAAGCGTTTCGTTTACACGAGGCGTCCTGCTCTTGTTCCAAGAATGTGTGAACTAACTCTGGCGCATCAGGAATTAAGAAATTGAAATTCCTAGAAAAAGATAAAAATGGAAAACAAAGTTAATGGATAGACTAAATATAGACTAAATTTTGATCTACACAAGTCTAGACAAAAATTTCATCATAGCTTGAAAGAGCGTCACAAAATTAGTAATATTCCAATTTCCAAAGTTTCGTTGCGAAATGTTGTAAAATGCGGATAGTGTAGCCTTGCGAAGTTTGCCGTTTTTCAGTCATTTTGTATTACAAACGGGAAATTGACAGCCCCAAAGGGTATTGGGCTGTCATTCTGTTAATTTCCCGTTTGTCATACAAAATGACTGAGAAACGGCAAACTTCGCAAGGTTATATTATCCGCATTTTACAACATTTCGCAATGAAACTTTGGAATATTACTAATTTTTTGATGCTCTTTCAAGCTGTGATGAAATTTTTGTCTATATCAAAATTTAGTCTATAATGCAAATGGTCCATCTTTATTGCCGTATCCCTTTAACAAAACAACAGTTCCATACTTGAATATTGTGTAGATTGCCATAACAGCATTGCGTCTCACGTAGCAGTGTCGATGTTCCAAACACGATCTGATCGTTGGCATCAGAGGTTCCAGTAACTCAGGTTGCTACGAAACAAAACAATTTTCAATTTTGCGGTATAATTATGAATCTGTAGAAGCAAAATCTCAACCCCCCTCGACATATCCATTAATATAATATTATTTTAACGTGTGTAATATGACAATATATATTTAATCTGACCTTTAGTTTACAAAGAAACCTCAACGTGGATCCACGAATAAATTCATTCGGATGTTGAAGATCCTGTGAAAAACATAAGAATAAACTATTTAATAACCAACTGAGAGCCAGCATTTTCTCCTAGACAAGTAACATCATCTGGCATTAGACAGGGTAAAATAATGAATCGCAGGGCCGTAGGTACAATTCCTACCAGAGGACTTTGTGCTGCATTTTTCGCAGTCGTTCCTGGTTAGGTCTTAAAATGTATATATTCTCACTTGGATTACAAACCCTAACATTCTAAAATAATAAAGTAGAGCACATTAGGGTGCAATGTAACTTAACAAGTCTGGAAATAAGCGTCCAGTCACAGTCATTGACTGGTACAAATACATGATTTCTAGTGGTTTTACAGACACAACTTTGATTGTGTCCGTCACTTTGTCCAGTTACATTATTCAGCTTTTGAAAACATCAGCCTTCTTCCCAAAATTTCCTTCCATTTTTGAGAAAATATACAAAAGTAATTAAATTTCCCCCTGTCACTTAAAGTCTAGATTTTAGCTTTAAAGCAAATTATATCAAATTCTCAGGAAACTTATATGTTTATTTCTATATATTAGCAAAATATTGTTTCAACAAAATTACCATTCAGAATTAATACATTATGCTGATATTTGTGTCATTCAGACTTATTTCAGAGCTATTAATTAAAACTGAACTTATGGTCATCGGACTTCATCATACATATGTCCGACCAAAACTCAAAGTCATCAGACATTTTGTCAGATGGCCCTGTAAAAGATATTTTAAGGCCTGACTCTTGACGAAGGGCCTTCGCTCGAAACGTCGAGTTCCTGCTTGTTTATTTCAGGTAGTAATATAACCGCTCAGCACAACAATTTCACATTGTTACTACCCACACTGGTACAGATAGTTACTGTAACTAAATACATATAATACATTTTTATGCTGATCCATCTTCAAAATGTCATTTAGAGGAAAAAAAATGCTGTCAAAAAGCCAAGAAAATCAGCATTTTTTGCCTACAAGGATTTATCAAAATTGCAAGGAAATTTTTAAAACATATTACCTTACGATAAGCATCACAAACTAAAATCATCTCTTGCAACAATTTTCCATCAGGACCAAGTTTCGGGACAATCTCCCAAAAGATCAACAACAATTTCTTGATCATGTGATTGTGAGACGGCAATACAAAACGTATAATGACCATGAGAAGTCCTGGCATTTTATCACCATTGATGATCTGGTAAATGACTCGTTTCAAGGCTTCTGTTTTCATCTTCACATCACCTTTTTCTAAACGCATCAAAACAAAGAATTTCATACATGCGTAAAAACACTGAGCCGCCTGCTGTTTAACAGGATCGAACAATATTTTGCGGCCCACATTGTTCACACTTGTCAACAATATTGAACAATATTGTTGAGCCAGAACCGGGTGTAACAATATTGTTCAATATTGTTTGACAGTTGTGAACAACATGGGCAGCAAAACATTGTTTAAGTTCACATACATATACTAAGGCAACACCCAGGCCCCCAAGGGGTTATGACCGACAGGCGACATTCAGTAGCATAGCCAGCCCGACGATTTAGTCCCGCTATGCAAATGTTTTCGTGATCATTGACTGTCAAAACAATCAATTTCTAAAGAAATGAATAATGATAATTTTGAATTTGCATAGCGGGACTAAATTGTCAGGCTGGCTATGCCACTGGCAACATTCCTCAAAAAGAGGCGACAGACTATCTAAAAACGAGCAGCAAATGACAGCTTCTGACTGGAAAAAAGCGACAAATTGCGATTTGTGTTGTGGGACAAATGTGTTATTACAATAAAACAAGCGACAAAGCGGCTACAAAATGAGTGACAAGCGACCAGGGTTACACCCTTGGTGGGCCTCGATACCAACTTATGGTTAGAAATGTGTTCAATTTCTGAACGTTTTAAGGCCAAAACAATACATGCTTTTTCAAGTACAAAGAGCGTCCTTGGTTCGGTTATATATAATACAAACAGGAAATAAAAAGTATAACAATAATTTCAATTTGAAAAATCAATTTGATTTAAGTTTAAACTTGGGTTAAATAAAAAATGGCAGTCAAAGTCCTTTGGATTTAAAACGGCAAGGTCATGAAACTGCCAGTTATCGCCGGCAACTATTTCGAACCCAGATTGTAGGGCATTGTTTCATATTATTCTCATACACATGGGCAGATAGTGTGGTTATTATATTGAACTGTCAAATGTAGATAGTGTTAATAATAACAAACTTTCTTTGCTAGGGACGAAACTACTTGAAAAATATAACGAAAATTTCGACGTTTCAAGATTGACACATAAAAAATTCTCCTTCTATTTTTCAGGTAGTTGCATTGATCCAACCAACGAAAGACAGTCTGGTGAACCCATTGAGCACTAGCGCTCTCCTCTTGGCAAGAAAAATCGTCTAGTGTTAAAGGTGATCTACAGTCTGATCTGCGCATGTGCACAAATGAGCCCACTTTTTATGATACAAACAGTTTAACGATGTTTTGAGTTCTTGAAAAGCCTGATTGTTGTTTCTTGATAATTTATTATACTCTAGAAGCTTGAAAATATAAATAGTTGTCGAATAAAGCTCAATATTTTGGACACAAAAATGTAAACAATACAATATTATTCAAATTAACATTAATAAAACTGTTATTTCCAATGCTAATGACTATTTCTACGTTCCGAAACTATTATTGACAAATACGATGTCATTAGCTCCCAAAATTGATGAAGTGAGTTGTTTTGTCACAGAAAAGAGTCCTGACCTTGCCTGTATAACGGAAACATGGCTAAATGACCGTATCTCAGATTCCTGCCTCGATATTCCAGGTTACAATTTTGTTCATAAAAACCGCAGTGTGGGCTCCCACGGAGGGGTTGGGGTGTACATCAGGAACACGATATTTTATAAGCCTCTGAATCATCTCCACCATATAGATTACGAAGTTCTGTGGGTCTATGTTCGTCCAAGTAGACTTCCCCGTGGGTTTTCCTGCTTGATACTTGGTGTCGTTTACCATCCACCTAATGCTAATGATGATGAAATGCTCCAATTTCTCTCCACATCACTGATTACTATTGAAAGCACTTATCCTGGCTGTGGGTTTATTCTTGCAGGCGACTTTAATCGGTTAAAATGCAATCGGATATTAACACAGTTCAGTTGCAAACAGATTGTTAACGTTTCCACAAGGGCCAACCAGACTTTGGATCTAATAATAACCAACTTACATTCGTTTTATGATAAGAACTCTGTCGAAAAATTTCCGCCATTTGGTCTTTCAGATCATAATGTTGTGATTGTCAATCCTTGCAAAAGAGAACCCAAGTCATGCAGTAGAAGAATTATCTCTAGTAGAGATTTACGATCTAGTAAAAGGCATGAGCTTGGAAGATACCTTACATCTATCGATTGGTCCTCTCTGAATCATTTTGACACATGCGAAATGAAACTCCAGTATTTCGAAGAGTTAGTACGTCTCGGTATTAGCACCATTATGCCAATAAAGAAAACGGCTTTGCATGTACACGATCCTCCATGGATTACTGCAGAATTTAAAGAGCTTATAAGGAAGCGTCAAGCTGCCTTCTGCAGTGGAAATACCTTTCAGTTCAAGTATTACCGGAATCGGGTTAACCGCGAGCGAAAGACATGCCGGGCGAAATTCTACTCTTCAAAAGTAAAGAATCTTAAATCGACCAAACCGAAGAGATGGTGGAAGGAGGTGAAGCAGATTGCTGGTATGGTACCTACAACCGGCTCCGATGACCTATGTAGTCAACTTCATTTAGGCGATATCGAGAATATGCAACGTCCTGACATTGCGAATTTAATTAATAACGCCTTTTTGGAGCCCATGAACTCCTTCAATCCACTGTCAACCCTTCCACCCTTTGATAATTATTCCTCTTTTCAAGTGAACGAATTGGAAGTCTTTCATTTACTGAAAGCAATTAATCGTGGAAAGGCGTCAGGTCCTGACGAAATTCCCAATTGGGCTCTTAAGGAATATGCTGAAATCCTTGCACAGCCAGTATACGCTGTGCTAAACAGCAGCTATGCCGAACAACAACTACCTAAATCTTGGAAGCTTGCCAACATTGTGCCCCTCATAAAAACTAAGCCCGTTAGCGACATTTGTAAGCAGTTACGACCAATTTCACTTACTGCCGCTATTTCGAAAATCGCTGAGGACTGTGTTGTTAAAAAATACATTGCTCCAGCTATCATGAGTATAATCGATCCAAGTCAATATGGAGTAATACCAAGAAGTTCAACTACTCTCGCTGTTATATCTATGATCCATGAATGGTCGCAAGCTACTGATGGCACTGGCTCTGCTGTCAGAGTCATCCTGTTCGATTATAGAAAAGCATTCGACCTTATCGATCATGCTTTACTGGCTGATAAAATTTCCAGTTTAGCTATTCCACGTGCGGTTGCTCGCTGGACAATCGATTTTTTGATGAATCGAAAGCAGAGAGTGAAATTATCCAATGACTGTTATTCGGAGTGGGGAGATGTACTTTCCGGTATCCCTCAAGGTACAAAATTAGGGCCCTGGCTATTTTGTTTAATGATAAACGATCTTGATATTTGTGATATATCGAGGTGGAAGTTTGTTGATGACACAACAGTTGCTGAAGTAGTTAGTAAGGACACAGAGAGCCGTGTTCAAGTCGCAGTTGATGTTGTGGAAGATTGGTCGAAGGCAAATGGGCTATCTCTTAACACTGAGAAATGTAAAGAACTGAGAATCGATTTTAAAAGAATTAAACAACATTTTGATCCTGTACTGGTGGGTGGAGAAGCATTGCCTATAGTTGAGAGTGCAAAAATATTGGGTCTTGTTATGACAGGCACACTTCAGTGGAAAGATAACATCAGAGAGAGTATAAAGAAAGCTAATAAACGCCTCTATTTTATAGTACTATTGAAACGGGCAAGCGTAAATGTCAATGATGTCTTGAACTTTTATTGTACAGTGATCAGGCCTGTGCTCGAGTATTGTGCGCAAGCCTTCCATCATTCCATCCCAAAGTATTTGGCAGACGAACTTGAGACTGTCCAGAAACGTGTGCTAAAAATTTTATCTCCTGAAATGACATATTGTGAGGCCCTTGAGTATTTTAGACTGCCTACTCTATTTCAAAGAAGAGAGGACATGTGTGACAAACTCTTTACGAGTATCATCAAGGATCCAATGCATAAACTTCATCATCTGCTGCCCCCGAAGAACGAGACTGATTATTCTTTCAGGACGAATCGGTATTTTAATATGTACGTTACACGCACGAACCGCTTTTATAACTCTTTTATCCCTGCTATGTGTAGGAAGTTTGTAGGATAGATTTTATGCTTATTTTAATCGAATTTTGATCGTGGGTGGGTTTTTATAATATTGTATTAATAATATATTTATATGTAGTGCATGTGATAATATGTAATCCACGCAATTCAGGTTCTGGCTGCAATGTGGTTTCAATTTAATAATAATAATAATAATAATAAACAAAGGCTTTGTTTACATACGGACTGTAGATCACCTTCAAACACAGTCAAATAATATAGTATCCCTGCATTTATAAGGCTGAATTTCAATTTCAATTTATTAAAAGATACCAATTTTGCAGTTAAAAACTGAATTACACTGGTTTACATGCTTATGAGTAAAAATGTCTACAAACACTCCTTATTTACAAGTTGTTAATTTTGATAGTTCTACGTAAGAATGTAGCTGAACAATTATTATTTAAAACTAGAGTTATAGGCCTTACTACCGGCCATAATAAAATTATTAGCAAACCTACTTGTCCTATGCTTTGGTATTGAAAGACAGTTATTATTACGTAGAGAATATCCTGTTTTATATGTCTTGGGGGGAACGAGAGAATGGTCGATGTATGGCAATATTAGTTCAATAAAAGTTGGATAGATCGATTTATTTTGATGTTTCAAAAGAAATAATGAATGTTTTTATTTGGGTAACAGTAAAAACATTTGCAATCAGTGAAAGATGAAATATTTTTACCTTCGTACAAATAAAAACATTCATTATTTGTATACCAAATTTGGTCCCGTGCTCACAGAAGACAAGGGTTATAAAACCAAACATAATATCGAGAATTTGTGCATCTCGCTGGAAAGAAGAGTTGAAGGCTTTGTGTAGTTGGGAACTTGGAGTTGAAGGTTTTGGTCAACTCGGGGGGATTGTATATAACACTATTATATAACCTTCCCTACAAAATTCCTATCTACAAAAACTATTAAGCAGACATAAAATGGTTCGACAACTCACCCAAATCATCCTTTAATTTTTGTTCTGACCACGGTTCCAGGTCGCTAGGAACGTTGATCAGAGTATAACACGGCATCTCTGCTAAAGTACTCATGATTTCTTCAGTTTTTTGCACAAAAAACAACCAATTTCTATCCAAATCTTTGATCTTGCAAAACACAAGTCAACGTGTCAAAAGAACCCGGTGACCTCGATATATTTATCTGGAATAATATCGATGCTGCGTGGCCCGCGCGCGTGAAGGTCGCGGGGACACACTTACTGAACTCTATAAAACTGGAGAGAAGAATAATCCGATGTACTTCGACATATATGTTTATTGTTACACGTGTGAAAATCTCCCAGCTTGTCAACGAGATGTGTTCGCATTGCTTGTTCCCAGTTGTTGCCAAGTGTGGAACAAGTTGTTATCATCTTGTAACAAGGTTGATGAGGCCAACAGACTCGCAACAAGTTGTTCCAACAAGTCTGATATCGTCTGCACGTCACAAGTTGATGACAACAAGCTCGTGGCAACTTGTTACGAACAGCCTGTATTAGTCTTGTTGGAATAACTTGTAGCAAGTCTGTTACCGTCATCAACCTTGTAACAAGATGATAACAACTTGTTCCAGACTTATCACAACAACTGGGAACAAGCAGTACGAACACATCCTGATATCGGCTTCACAACAACCTACAACTTATTTGCAAATCTGGAACAACTTGCGCGTTTCTGCGTTCAATAATAATTTTAATCGGTTAAATAGCGAAGCTCTTTCCAACATTTTCACTCGAGATAGTACTTGAAATAATAAAAAATGAAATTGAGTGTAATGTCTGCAAACATTCATGGCTTGCAAAGTGTCGCTCGCGAATATGACAAATTCGCTTTTAAAAAATTTATTTCTTACAAATAATGTAGTAGTGATATCCATTGGATAATGAAATTATCTAACTGCCAAATATAATATCCGGTACCATTCTATCCTAGGGGGGAGGGCATTGCAAAAATGATGGGGGGGGGGGATTTTCAGGAAATGAAAAACAAAAGTTATTTGGAAAATGTGTGAATGAATACACTATACATGAATCTATTTAAAAAATCCTGTATGTTTCGTATGTTTCCAAGATATGACGTATAACTATAAAAGGGCATGCAGTTGATGCGCAAGGAAATCCAAGAGAAATAACGTTCAACATGGTCAACGAATTTTTTCGGCCGTCTGCTTGAAAAGATTGGGACTGGCCTTGAAGGTTGCCTTCAAATTTCGGTTGAGCCGTTCGAGTTATATTTATTTCAAT